GAAAGGCAACAGAAAAAACAGCATAAAACTGACATATTTTGTGATGTCTTTATCAAATTTGCAGTTGTTAATGTTGTTCGCACCTTTAGGTAGCGCTGACTTGTTCGTTTACATTTTGAACTGTACATTTCTACTAACTACACACAGCTGCTGATTTGGTTATTAGCAAGGTTTTTTTTTTGTTTGGTTTTGGCAGGACTTTAGTTATTTATAGAGTCAGCGTAGTTTAGGATCCTGTTGTCAACCTTAAAAATCCCAAAATCCCAGCTCTTTTTACCCCGAGGATAAAAATGCCACCTTCTCAGAAACTGCTGTAAAAATTCTTATAAAGTCATATTTTTTCCACTTTAAATGACTCGGTGTTTAAAACTACTTCAGCCTGAAACATAAATATCAAATATTATTTGTATTTAATCATATGTTTTGTGATTTTAACCCTTTAAAGGCCAGTATGTTTACATAGCTCCACTAATTTTTATCAAAAAAAACAACAACAAACCAAAAGTAATCTCCATAAAATACATTTTAAGGAGTAAATGATCCAATTAATTTTATCAGGTCCTAAGCTGGGTCAATGATTGGCAGCATTGATTTTCATGCATTCTTATTTTTTCAACAGTGTCAGAGAAAAAAAATCCTAATTAAAATAATGCCACCTTCCCACAAATGGCTGTAAAAGTATTATATAGTAATCATTTTTTCCACTTTAAATGACACAGTAAAACTGCTTCAGCCTGCAATTTAAATATCTAATATTAATTATGTTTTTTGGATTTTAACCCTATAAAGAGGAAGGACTCTAGGAGCTGAGGTGGAGCTGTAAATAGGCAGACATGTAAGCCTCCCACGTGGCGCTGCCAGCTCTTCTCTTTCTGCCCGTGAAAAAATCTTTTATGTGCTGCAACTATCAAAAATAGTTTAACTTTGCCCAAAATAATCTCATGTAAGGCTCAAAGATGCCCATTTATTTTTCTGTTCACAGGATCAAGTCTGAATATGCATGCATGCATGTTTTGATTGATTTATTGTTTTTCAGGATGTGTTGACGTGTTTAACGCTCTGTAAAAAAGTAGTGCAAAAGTTCACATACCTTTTATTGCTGGGAGGGGGCCACACTAATGTTTCCAAGCTTTCACATATGTTCAAATTTACCTCATTTATTTCCTCTGCAGTGAAACGTCTATGTCAGACTGAATCATACGTTTCTGACACAGACTTTCCGTGATGAAGACAGAAAGACTCTGACAATCAGTTTGTTGCTCCAGGTTGTATCTAGAAGTGTTTCAGGTGAATCATCCATCAGCAGACCCATGACTGTCTCCAAAAGGAAGTGAGCAGTATGCAGTTATGCAAACAGCACAGCAGTGGCAAGTTCCGTATGTCGCAGTTTTTAACCTGCAGTGGAACATCTGCCTGACCCATTTAAGGTCTGCTCAAGTGCATATGGACCTGTTTCCATGACTACATACTGGAAGTTGCCTTCTTAAATGAAAAAGCTGTCAAAATATTGCAAGACAAGAAAAGAAAATTTGGTGTACTGATGTATATTACATAATATCACACAAGTACTGTTTTGTTCTGTCATGTCTCACCAATCAAAGAGTCTGCATGACAAAGTGTCATCACTTTAACAAACTGATGAAGCCTGAGAGGGGCTTTTCTTTCTGTTAATTGCTTTGCGTTTACTTGTGGGCGATCGTGGCTCAAGAGTTGGGAGTTCGCCCCGGCTTGGACAGTCTCGGTCGTTGTGTCCTTGGGCAAGACACTTTACCCGTTGCCTACTGGTGGTGGTCAGAGGACCCGGTGGCGCCAGGCAGCTTCAGCTCTGTCAGTGCGCCCCAGGGTGGCTGTGGCTACAACGTCGCTTGTTATCACCAGTGTCTGAATGGGTGGATGACTGGATGTGTAAAGCACTTTGGGGTCCTTAGGGACTAGAAAAGCGCTATACAAATACAGGCCATTTGTGTTCATTTTCCTGCTCTTTTCAGATCTTTTTTCATTGTTATTTTTGGTCTTTTGTGTCTTTGCAGCTGTTTTGCAGCTACTAGCGCTCTTTTTGTGTTTCTGTAAAGTCATCTGCTGACATCCCGCACTATGCAACATGCTCAGTATGTTTCCCGCCATGCATTTGTGTAAATAAACTGTGGTAAGTGTCCTTTTGGGCACACTCGACAGTATGTAAACTGACTTCTTGAGTTATGCTGCCAACTGGAGACCTGTGAATATTTCAACCCATCTTCATTTGAGATACACCAAGAAGTTCTTTACAAATTCGAAAAGTATATTAGGTGTAGAAAAAAAATACATATATATTTAAACACTCAGATTATTACCGACGTTAGACTTTGACAGCCTTGATCGGTGTGCAGCACATCTGCATGGAATTGTGGGTTATTTGTTGTCCCGTGCTTGCATGCTCTGATATTCCCTTGATGTATAGATTAGCTTTCATTTTGCTTGAGCTTCCTTGTTGTTTTGTGCCTCTTTTTCCATCTTGGGCTTCTTGCAGTGTCTACATGTGTCAATCAGAACTGATTTAAAACTTTATTGACACACACATTTGGGCTTGCTGTTTTGAACCACCTCTATGTTCAGGCTGGAAATGAAGGATTTGTCTGTTTTCAGTGGTTTTCATTATCTGGCTAGTAAAGTAAAGCCCTTGATGCTAATCCTGTGGTATCAGAATATGTAATTTGGGGCTTTTGGAAATTGTTCCTGCAAGTCGTGGCAACTAAAAGAAAAAATGTGACAGACATGAAGTATGTAAAAAGTGTTTCATAAACTGTTGTTTATATTTACAACATAGTTAGGTTTAGGGTTTGACTTCTCAGCATGAAATTAGACCTCGTAGTGTTGATTTGTTGCTAGTTACCAATCCTATCTCATTATTCTTGACCTGCAGGCTTCATGACTCAGGCAGTCTAATGCACAAACAAAGATTTTAAACTCTTTCCCCATACTCATTGCCTTTTAAATGTTTTCTCTCTGGAAACTATCAGATTGGGTTTTGGGAAATGTTGTTAAATGTTAAATGACAGAGTGAAATAGGTTGAAAGCGGATACCTCGCATTCAGTCCTAAAATAACTCCTGGAAGGGGGGGGGTTGTGTGCTGAACATTTCTGAGCGAGGTAAGAGTGTTATCCTGAAGGGATCAGCAACAACACCATGTCCCAGTAAAACACATGCAGGTTGACCATGAAACCCACTTCTCCTGCTGGAGAAGTTGAATCTGGGTCACAGAATGAAAGCTGAAAATGGTCTGTCATCTAGCACAATTTATTCCACCATTTGTTTACAGTAGCTTTGTAAATGCAGTTTGTATGTTGATTCGTAGTAGTCTTCACACATCAGCTCTTGGCATTCTGAAGAGTGAGTAACACCCCACATGACTGGAATATTAAACAAATATTGTTAAATATGAACAAATGAATAAATAAGCCCCGTTCAGCGGCTCCACAGTGGGACTACAGAGTCCTTTTAAGGGTCTGAGTGGCTCACGTCTCCCGTCGCAGACAGCCAGACCTGCTCTAGCAGAAATACAATGTGGGGAACCGACAGTCGCAAAGACCAAGAGGCGCCTTTTCAGTTGCAAGCACACATGCACGAACAGTCATGGATGGATCGTGAGCCAACAGGCCCGCGGGCACAGGCTTGTAAAAGGCCTCCACCAAGGAAGACACAAAGAAACGACAAAAGACTTTAACTGACACGGTCGTCGCTGTTGTCCACCTCTGCTCGTCTTCAGGGTGCTTCTGCGTTTGTTCCTCCATTGTGTCCATTTATTTCTCTACCTGGTCCTTTTTTTATTTCTTTAAAATTCTTGGGTTTTTTTTACATCATTTTAAATTGTTTTAGAAATTCTGATTTTCATTTGTTTTTGTGGAATTATGAATTTCTTTGATTTAATTGATTATGAATGTCCATGTTGCAGTTTTAAATTATTTAGAGTCAATTTTTGGCTGTTTGGAAGTCATTCTAGTCTCTCAGTAGACATTTTGAGCCCATTTAAAAAAATTTCTAACTGTTTTGATTCATGTGAGTCATTTTGAGTATTATAAATTATTATGCGTCTGTAGTTGTTTTGTCTTGTGTCTGTCTGTGGCTGTTTCAGGTCATTTTGAGTCCCTTTGGTAGTCGTGGCTGTTGTTTTGAGTTATCTTTGAATCTTTCTACGTCATTTTTGAATCATTAGTGTCTCTTTGTAGTTGTTTTCAGTCATTTGGTAGCCACTGAAGTTAGTTTAAGTGTCTTTGCAGCAGTTTTAAATCATTTTTAGTCTCTTTGTTGCTGTTTTGAGTCAGTCGAGTCTGTCTGTAGCTGTTTTAGGTAGCTGTGGGTCTCTGATTTGGATCTTTTCAAATTTCTTTGGAGCTGGTTTTAGAATATTTTCAGTTTCTTTTTATTTATTTGTTCCATTTTCAAATTGTTTGGGTCTTTTTGAGTATTTTCAAGTCCTCTCATTATTTATTAGCAAGAAAAGACAGACTCTGGACCGGGGTTATCTGACTCCTTGGGCCTTGGTGCTGTGCCCAGTGGGCCTGTTCAGAAATCCTCCCATGCAAACAGTCATATGCACAGAGACACTCATTCACACTGGCTCTTACTCGAGGCTCTCACAAGAAAATGACTAATCATGATCACATGAAAAATCTGGCAGATCTTAAAAGAAAGAACCGAGAGAGGTTACAAGTGAAATTTACAATATGTCATGTCGCTTCTCTGTAGCTGTAAACATCAGCAAAGTAAAGGGAGGACTGCCAGTCGCACACACGGGGAACATGGACAGCTACACTGTAAACATTTCAAAACACACACGGCACTGTTTCAGTCAGCCCTCTACGATAACCTTTCATGCGGCCTCACTCACTCACACACACACACACACACACACACACACACACACACACACACACACACACACACACACACACACACACACACACACACACACA